CCCTGCCCGAAAATATTCCCACACTGGCACATCTGCCCCAGGGCCTGGGATTCCACCATTCAACCCTGCCCTCCCTCTGCAACACTGAACTGAAAGAGTCTTGCCGAGGTTTCCAGTGCGTCCCCCCTCCCAGGGCCTAGGATCTGAGCAGGGAGGGCTGGAAAGAAGGAAATGCTACACAGACAGAGGAAGTAGCTTCGGGAAGGTGGAGCACAAAGGCAAACTTCGCTGACAGAAGATTCTTGCTGCTGGCCGACCAGGCCTGCCTGTCGTGAGAATCAAAATTGTTTTCTTTTGTCGGAAAAATATGTCCAAGGTAGTTCTTGTGTTGTGGTCAGGGACGCGGGTAAGGAAGCAATAGTGAGTGCCTCCTTTTTGCCTGCCAGGTACGTTGTGCATATCTGTTGGCTTATTGCATCTTAGAAACTCCTGAAGAAACTGAGGCTTGGGGAGGTTGCCTGCCCCCACGCACCCCTCAGGGACTAAGTGACAGAGCTGAGATCCCCAGTCGGCCAGACACAAAGCCCTCCTACTTTCTGAGGCCCCACCCTGCTGGGGAGGGAGAACTGGACACCATCTGGGAAGAATTAAGGAGGTTTTTAGAAAAGGCCTCTGCAGGAATGAGAAAACCTTTATTAGGGCTTTTTAATCAATAAAGCAGGAACAAAACCTCCCTCCCTGCAAACATTTCTGGACTCCCAGGAGATGCCCGACTGTGCCCAACAAATGATTCAGAAAGCAAGTATAAAATTTAAAAAATTCCCATCCCAACAAGTCAGAGAATGCTTTTTACTGGATGTGGAGGAGGGGAAGCTGAACCTCATGGCTCCTTGGATCTCAGTTCCTGTCTCTTGCCTTAACAGAGCCCAGACTTGTCATCTGAGAGGAAGGGGGAGGCTGAGGTCACTGCCCTTCTCTGGTTTCTGCCAAGAGCTCTGCTTTTCTCCAAGGAGGTGGTGGGGCTGGGATGGCTTTGCACCCCGCAGGCTCCAGCAGGATCACATCTGCTAGGGTGCGTCTTAGAAAGGGGAGTGTGAGAAGCGGGTCCCCCAACTCTGGTACTCCTGGCCAAGGCTGAGTGCCTGTGGTTCCTTTGTGGCCGTTCAGGTGGGAAAAGTGTTTGTGATGCCAAAAAATCAGCTAGGCTCAGCCCTGAGCCCCAGCCGGGTACCTGTAAACTGAGGGCCTTACTTAGCCTGTCCCATCTGCAAAGGGAGAGTCATCAGATGCTTCCCAAAGACCTTCTTAGGGTGAAATGAGAAAGTGGAGTATATTCATTTTCTATTGCTGAATCACAAATTATTACAAAGTTAGCAGCTTAAACACTACCCATTTCTTATTTCACACTTCAGGTCAGAAGTCCAGGTGGGCTCAGCTGTAGTCTCTGCTCAGGGTCTCACAAGCTAAAAATCAAAGTGTGAGCTGGCTGGCTCCTATTAGAAGCTCTTTTCCAGAAGCTCTGGGAGAGCATCTCCTTGCAAGCTCATTCGGGTTGTGATGGAATTCCACTCCTGCAGTTGCAGGACTGAGGTGGCGGTCAGCCAGGGATCCCTATCAGCTCCTCGAAGCTGCTCTCTCTCGGGTCCTTTCCACATGGTCCCCACCTTCTCAAGTCATCAAAGATGCATCGAACCCTCCCTCACACTTCACATCTGTGACCTCCTCTCCTGCCCCCAGCCAGAGAAAACCCTCTGCTTCTAAAGGGCTCGTGTGATTAGATTAGGCCCCTACCAGCTCATCTTTCTTTTCTTGGACTTAGAGTCAACTGATTTCTATCCTTAATGATGTTTTTGAAATCCCTTTGCCATATAATTTCACAGGATTGGGGGCTTGATGTCTCATCACGTTCAGGGGTTTGGATGGAAATCTTGGGGGCCATATTTAGAATTCTGCCTACATGGGAAGCAAAAGTGCTTTGTCACCTCTAAAGTGCCAGACTTAGGCTCTCATTAGAGTCTAATGAGGGTATAACCCTTAGGGAGGGTTCCCTTCCCTCTGCCCCAGGATTGCAAAGGAAAGGGTGGCACTGGATTAAGGATGGCTGCCTGTGGCCCCTGCCCCTTCTCCTCCTCCTCTTGAGCCTACCTCTGGGCTTTTCACGACTTAGAGAGGGAGCCCTGTCTCAGGACCCCAAGACTTAATCCTGTCCATCGCCTTCACCTTCCAGATCTTCAGCCATTCCACACCTGCTGCAAGTTCATTCCTGGGCTCTGCCCTTCCTTCACACTCTCTGGGTACCACCCCTTACCGGGATCTACGATAGCCGTCTACACTCACCTGCTCCCATCTCTGTCCACTGGAGCCTGGCCCCTACCAACCCCCACTGCCTTAATCTGTTCTCCCTCCCTTATCTCACTGGACACCTTCCAGGCCATCTCTGCCAGGCTTTTCTGTGATGGCAGCCATGGAGTCTGTCTTGTACCTGTGGTATTATTCCCAACACCCAGCCTGGTGCTAGGAGCATAGCAGACACTCTAGCAAATGTTCGTCATTGTTTGTCTGGATCCATGTATCTATGTGGTCCATGTGCTAATGTACTCCCCTGCCTGCCCCAAACCTGAGCATACGTCACCCACTGTCCCCTCAGCAAGTGACACCTGTGTCACTCTCTCCCTCAGCCCAAGAGCAGTGACCACAGACAGAAGCTGCATGAGTGTGTCCATCAGGATAAAAGGCCAGCACTGACGCTGTTCTGTCTCACGCCCCCCTGCCCCCACCACACACACATACATGCATGCACACACGAGAGGCTCTGCGTTCTCCTTGGCCTAAGGCTGGGGAGGGCAAGAGCCACCACCCACCACCTTTTTACCCCTCACCATACCTGGGCCTCAACTCAGCTGAACCCTCTAGGAGTTACTTGTGCTAGCCTTAATCTTTTTTTCTTTTTCTTTTTCTTTTTGAAATGGAGTCTTGCTCTGTCTGGAATACAGTGGTGCAATCTCAGTTCACTGCAACCTCCTCCTCCCAGGTTCAAGCGATTCTCCTGCCTCCGCCTCTCAAGCAGCTGGGATTACAGGTGCCCACTACCACATCCAGCTAATTTTTGTATTTTTAGTAGAGACAGGGTTTCACCATGTTGGCCAGTCTGATCTCGAACTCCTGACCTCAGGTGATCCGCCCACCTCAGTCTCCCAAAGTGCTGGGATTACAGGCGTGAGCCACCGCGCCTGGCCAATCTTTTTTTATTCCATCCCTGAATTTAGGCCTATGTTCTCTTTCCCCAGAGCCCCACCCACTTCCTCTTGGGAGTCCAGCCGAGGACAGTGTGGTTTGAAGAACATTCTAATCCCAGCCCGAGAGCTCTGAGAGAAAAAATGACTACAAACCCTGGAATGTAAAACCTGCTGCTTCCTGCAAAGCATTTTGAATGAAACACGTAACCAACAGCTGCAGCACAGAGAATGGAAACTCTGAGGGACGTCATGGCTCCAGGTTCCAAATAGCAGGGTTGTGAGCAGGACAAGCTCTTCATTTCAGCCCAGCCTGGACACCCTCAGCAGCACCCCTCCCTGCTCGCCTTCCAGGAACCAGGCCCATCATGCCAAGGATGTGCCGCTGTTGTTTGCTTATTCCAAACACCCCTGGCCTCCAACACAGCCAGACACCCTGTGTATAGAGGTGAGACCTCCTTCCCACTCATCAGCCCCCAGAGGCATCGAGGACCCCCAGCCCAGCTACTCTGCCCTCTCAGGAGCAGCTTAATGCATCCCTCAACATGATCCCCAGGCCAGGCTGGGCAGGGCCAGCCAATTCATGCAATGTAGGAAGATATCACTGCCGAAGCTGCTCTAGGGCAGACTTGTGGTGAGGGGGCAGGATGGGCAGCCCACGAGGGGCAAGAGGCCCTAGAATTGGAGAATTCCTGAAGATCACTCCTGCATGAAGGGAAGACAGCAAACATTTTTCCAACTTCTTTTTTTTTTTTTTGAGGCGGAGTCTTCACTCTGTCGCCCAGGCTGGAGTGCAGTGGCACCATCTCGGCTCACTGCAAGCTCCGCCTCCCAGGTTCGCGCCATTCTCCTGCCTCAGCCTCCCGAGTAGCTGGGACTACAGGCGCCCGCCACCGCGCCCGGCTAATTTTTTGTATTTTAGTAGAGACGGGGTTTCACCATGTTAGCCAGGATGGTCTCGATCTCCTGACCTCGTGATCCGCCCGCCTCGGCCTCCCAAAGTGCAGGGATTACAGGCGTGAGCCACCGCGCCCGGCCACATTTTTCCAACTTCTTTAGGGAGATATAACACACTCAATAAAACACACTCGTCTTAATGGTGTGACCTGATGAACTTTCATATATGCACACACCTGGATGAAATGTAGAACATTGCAAATACCCCAGAACATTCCCTGGATCCCCTTCCCAGTCAATATTCATCCCCCTCAGAGGTGACCATGATTTTGAACTTCTCTCACCATCAATTAATTTTGCCTCTTTTTGAACCTCATTGAAATGGAATCACCAACAGTATGTGCTTTCACAACCAGCTTACCTAGTTCATCCTGTCTATGAGATTCATCCACGTTGCAGACACACTAATGGCCCCATGGCACCTCCCACACTCCAGGTGCTGTACCAAGGACATCATGGTTACTTTTTTACACTAAGGCCTTGATATTGAACCCATTTTCCGGATAAGGAAGTTGGTTGAATCAGCAGTTCATTGCCACACAGTCAGGACTTGGAGAGGCTGGAATTCAAACCCCAGAGAGAGCCAGAACAGATTCTCTCTTCTCTTTTCTCTTAACAAACTTAAAGGGACCTGCCTCCATTATACCTAGAGATCTACAGCCTGGAATTTCCTCACAAGGGAGACCTGTTTCAGGGTTTTGTGCACTTGGGAGCCCAACAGGAGCACCCATTTTACTTTAGTCCCCTATTCCATGGGGAACATGGGCAAGGCAGAAGAGGAGGGGTGAGCAGCAGGTAAGGAAGGCGTCTCAGGAGGCCCAGACCTAGGCAGAAAAGGTTTGACAGCAAGAGAACGAAGAGGTTCATTCATTTAGTCAGTCAATATTTATTGAATGCCTGCTGTATGGCAGGCACTGTCCTAGGCACTTACTTTTTGGTTATCTACCTGTATGTATCAAACCACTCTAAAATGCAGTGGCTTAAAATGGACAACAAACATTTATTATCTCTCACAACTTTATAAGTTGGCTGGGCAGTTCTTCCACTGATCTCACTGAGGGACTTTTATGCTGCTGCAGCCAGATGGCAGCTGGAACTGAAGTCATCTGGGAGCTAGACTGGGCTGGCTGAGTCAAGATGGTGGCCTTATATGTCGGGCACCCTGGAAAGGACCCGGAGGGCTGGGCTCGGCTGGGACTAGTGCATTGCTGGGATTCCTTCTCTCTTTCTGTCCTCTATGGGCCCCTCCTTCTCCATGTGGCTTTTCCACATCTCCTCTCCATGTGGATTTCTCCAAGAGGGTATCCAGACTTCTTACATCACAGCTCCTAGAAGTAATAAAGTGGAAGTCACCAAGTCTTATTAAAGCTTAGGCCTGGCAATGGCATGGCACCACTTTGGCCATATCTTCCTGCTTAAGGTGAGTTACAAGCCTGGACCAGATTCAGCATGGGAGTGAACCCTACAAGGGAATGAATATCCTCCAGGGCCATCTTTGGAGAGTAGCTACCACCCCGCAAAACAGAAAATCATTTTCTTTTTTCATTTATTCAACAGACACTCACTGTCAGGCACATAGTCGCTTCTTAAATAGAGTATAGTTAAAGTAAACACCACTTTTGTTTGACTCACTATCATTCAGGATACCAGCCACTGAGAAGCTCTGTAAAGGGTAAATAACATTCATTGAGAGTTTACTGCATACCAGACCCTGAGCTCAGTGCTTTATGACGTCTAACTCATTTACTCCTTATTCATTTTCCCTCCTTTGAAGTAGGTGTTATTGTTTGTCCTATTTTCTAGATCACTTAGAAAATAGGTTATCTATTGCTGAATAACAAACCACCCCCAAACTTAGTGGTTTAAAACAACAATAATCATTTATTATCATTCGTGGTTTATTTGGATCAGCTGGGAAGTTCTGGCTTGGGGTCTCATGATGTTGTAGTCAGCCTGTGACTGAGGATAGGGTCACTTTCTTTTTTTTTTTTTTTTTTTGAGACAGAGTTTCGCTCTTTTTGCCCAGGCTGGAGTGCAATGGCGCGATCTCGGCTCACCGCAACCTCCGCCTCCCGGGTTCCAGCGATTCTCCTGCCTCAGCTTCCCGAGTAGCTGGGATTACAGGCATGTGCCACCACCCCGGCTAATTTTGTATTTTTAGTAGAGACGGGGTTTCTCCATGTTGGTCAGGCTGGTCTTGAACTCCCGACCTCAGGTGATCCACCTGCCTCGGCCTCCCAAAGTGCTGGGATTACAAGCGTGAGCCACCACGCCCGGCATGGATGGGGTCACTTTCAAGGCTTCTTCACTCACAGGTCTGGCGCCTGGGATGGGAGGACACAAACAAGCGGAGGCTGCGAAAGCCAGGGTCTTTCAGGCATCTCTCTATCTATGTGGCTCTCCACATGAGCTCTCCAACATGGTAGCCCCAAGATAGCCGGACTTTTTTTTTTGAAACGGAGTTTCGCTCTTGTTGCCCAGGCTGGAGTGCAATGACGCAATCTCGGCTCACTGCAACCTCTGCCTCCTGGGTTCAAGCAATTCTCCTGCCTCAACCTTCTGAGTAGCTGGGATTACAGGCACCCACCACCACGCCTTTTTTGTATTTTTAGTAGAGATAGGGTTTCTCCATGTTGGCCAGGCTGGTCTCGAACTCCTGACCTCAGGTGATCCACCCGCCTTGGCCTCCCAAAGTGCTGAAATTACAGGCGTAAGCCACCTTGCCCGGCTATTGCTGGAGTTTTTTACATGGTCACTCAGTGATCCAAAGGCACATATCCAGAGAGACAGAAACTGAGTCACTTTTCCTAACCCAGAACTTGGAAGCCATGCAGTGTCATTTATACCTCGTTCTATTTGTTAAGGCAGTTAAAAAGGCCTGCCCAACACTATTCACAATAGCAAAGACTTGGAACCAACCCAAATGTCCATCAGTGATAGACTGGATTAAGAAAATGTGGCACATATACACCACGGAATACTATGCAGCCATAAAAAAGGATGAGTTCATGTCCTTTGTAGGGACATGGATGAAGCTGGAAATCATCATTCTGAGCAAACTATCACAAGGACAGAAAACCAGACACTGCATGTTCTCACTCATAGGTGGGAACTGAACAATGAGAACACTCGGACACCGGGTGGGGAACATCACATACCAGGGCCTGTTGTGGGGTGGGGGGATGGAGGAGGGATAGCAGTAGGAGATATACCTAATGGATGAGTTAATGGGTGCATCACACCAACACGGCACATGTATACATATGTAACAAACCTGCACGTTGTGCACATGTACCCTAGAACTTAAAGTATTTAAAAAACAAAAAAAAAAAAAAAAAAACAAAGACTCAGTGCAACAACAACAACAACAAAAAGACCTGCCCAGGTACAGCAGGAGGGAGAAACAGTTCCATTTCTTGATAGGAAATGTGTCAACAATCTGAGCCATATTTAAAACCACCATAGTCTATCACCTGGACATAAGTTATTTACATTCCTTTCACATACAAAATATACTCATTCTTTTCCAAAGATCCCCCAAACTCTCATCTATTATGGCATCAGATTTAGGCTAGAAAGGTCTAGGGTCCCATTATATAAACCATCCAGGTATGGAGGGAGTTCCTCAGATGCAATTTCTCAGGCACATTTCCTTAAGTACTATTCCTCTTTATTCAGAGACTTGTGAACTAAAGAGACAAGTTGTCTGCTACTGGACCAGGTGCAGTGACTCACATCTGTAATCCCAGCACTTTGGAAGGCCAAGGCAGTTGGATCACCTGAGGTCAGGAGTTCAAGACCAGCCTAAACAACATGGTTAAACTCTGTCTCTACTAAAAATATAAAAATTAGCTGGGCATGGTGGCAGGCACCTGTAATCCCAGCTACTCAGCAGGAGAAGAATCGCTTGAACCCAAGAGGCGGAGGTTGCAGTGAGCCAAGATCACACCATTGCACTCCAGCCTGGGCAAAAAGAGTGAAACGCTGTGTCAAAAAAAAAAAAAGTTATCTGCTATTTACACACTGAACATCCAATGAGATAGGCATAGCGTAGCCACTATAAACACTCTTATTCAAGAGAGGGGAAAGGAGGCACACAGCCATGACTGGTCCATAGCAATTCTGAAATCCATTCAGGCTCATATTGTATTGCCAATTTCTTGATTAGGGTTCAGTCCTACTGCCTGGGAATGATTCTTTGTGGTTTTTGGCTCTGTTCTCTAGATTCTTGGTTCCACCTTCTGAATCATCCTTCTTTCTCTATAAAAAATGGCTGGTGATATGGTTTGGTTGTGTCCCCACCCAAATCTCATCTTAAATTCCCACATGTTGTGGGAGGGACCTGGTGGGAGGTAACTGAATCTTGGGGGCAAGTCTTTCCCATGCTGTTCTTGTGATAGTGAATAAGACTCACGATATCTGATGGTTTTAAAAAGAGAAGTTTCCCTGCACAAGCTCATCATCTCTTTGCCTGCCACCATCCATGTAAGATGTGACTTGCTCCTCATTGCCTTCTGCCATGATTGGGAGGCTTCCCCAGCCATGTGGAACTGTAAGTCCAATTAAACCTCTTTCTTATGTAAATTGCCCAGTCTCAGGTATGTCTTTATCAGCAGTGTGAAAACAGACTAATACATCTGGTGTTTCCAACTGAGTAGTTTTCAGCCTGTTTCCTTCCTATAGAATTTTGGGGGTCCAAAAGCCTTTTTTCATTTCATACTATTCTGACCCTTTTTGCCCAAGCTGGTGGTGCTTCTGACAAAATAATTATATTAAAAACTGTGTGGGTTTCCCATGAATCTTACTGGGGCTCACCCTATTAGTCAAAAGCTATAACCACACATTTCATCAAGAAAACATTCTCTACATTCTTCTTGTGAGGCTGATGTAAAACAATTTACTTAGGATACTTAGAAGCCCTGTTGTTTAATGAAGAGGATCTGTGAGGCACACTCTTTTTTATTTTATTTTTAATTTGTTTTTATTTTAATAGGAAATGCTTCATGAATTTGCATGTCATCCTTGCACAGGGGCCATGCTAACCTTTTCTGTATTGTTCCAATTTTAGTATATGTGCTGCTGAAGCGAGCACTGAGGCACACTCTTGAAATACTTAGAGGGCCTTTGTGTATTCAAAATATTTTATGAAGCCTTAGATATTTCTGAGATTTTAACAAAGGTTCTTGTAGTCCCACTCTGGATTTTATCTTTGTCCTGAAGCCCTTTCATACTTTGAGAATCTTTTGCCATCTGGGAGGCTGAGAATGAGAACCAGATTTATTTTCAAACCCAGCAAGCCCCTGACTCCTTTATATATTTTATAAATTTTGCTTGAAAGTTAAAGCTTCCTTTTAACTCATCTTTCTCTGTCTTTATCATATACAGCTAAAATAATCCAACTAGCATTGTCTTTTCTTCTTTTTTTTTTGGAATGAAGTTTCACTCTTATTGCCCAGGCTGGAGCGCAATGGCATGATCTCGGCTCACTGCAACCTCTGCCTCCCGGGTTCAAGTGATTCTCCTGACTCAGCCTCCTGAGTAGCTGGGATTATAGGTGCCCGCCACCACGCCCAGCTAATTTTTGTATATTTAGTAGAGACGAGGTATCACCATATTGACCAGGCTGGTCTTGAACTTCTGACCTCAGGTGATCTACCTGCCTCGGCCTCCCAAAGTGCTAGGATTACAGGTGTGAGCCACCACGCCCAGCCCAACTAGCATTTTCTAATCCAACTAGCATTTTCAACAGTCTGCTTAAAAATTGTTTTAGCCCAAACCATTAGTTCATTAGGCATATTTTCTTCTTCTTTTTTCTTTTTTTTTGAGACAGAGTCTCACTCTGTCACCCAGGCTGGAGGACAGTGGCACAGTCTCAGCCCACTGCAACCTCTGCCCCCGGGCTCAAGCAATTCTGCAGCCTTAGCCTTCCAAGTAGTTGGGATTACAGGCATGAGCCACCAAGCCCAGCTAATTTTTGTATTTTTAGTAAAGAAGGCATTTCACCGTGTTGGCCAGGCTGGTCTCAAACTACTGACCTCATGTGATCTGCCCATCTCAGCCTCCCAAAGTGCTGGGATTACAGGTGTGAGCCACCATGTCTGGCCTTCATTAGGCACATTTTCTATTGCTCACATAGCTTCAAGTGACAATGTTGCTAACTTTCTTCCACTACATAATAAGGGTTTTCCCCTTTCCTTCTGCTTCCAATAACATTTTCTTACTTTCCTTTAAGCCCTCATCAGCTACTTCCTTGAGAACTATCAGACTTCCATCGACAATATCCTCAAAGTCCTTACAATCTCTGCCCATCTCCCAGTCCTAAAGCCAC